TCTTAAGGTGAAGTCAACATTATGGTAACTTAATTTAAGTTCCTTAACAGCAACCCAGTTTCCATTCCCATTTGAGCCGCAACCGCTCCCAAGCTTACAGCCTGATCCTACTAAACCCTGAAATCTTAAACACGGTGATATGAGCTATAGTCTAAACTCCTTAAAGGGGCTTATATAGGGATTATGTAGGGGACTACTGTAGGGATATTAAGGGGGATACTAGGAGTTTAGACCTCACATGAGCAGGTCTCAGTGCATTCGTCCTGGTGTGTGTGCACGTGGGCTCTGAAATTGGACGCTTCATGTTTGCTTTGATGCTCCACGGCTGGCAACTGATTTGGAGGTTCCCAATTTTTTGGAGCCCCTGAAATAGGCACAACATTTTTTGGGGGGAACCCGACCCTACCTGTTGGAGAGGCTCATTTTTCGGGCCCACACTGGCTCCCCCCTCCTGTGCATCAACACGTAATCAAGCAGCGAATCCGAAAATCCCCTCGAATTTTCCCAGCGATGTCCATACGGATGCTGCATTCCCGAAATTCCTTTTCGAGTATATAGTCTAGAGTAGTGAGTAGTCAGGAAGCCCTACATATGAACCCTAACCCAGGTTCCTCCTCACGGCATTTGCATCAGCGATCACCGTTCTGGAACATCACTACGAGGACATGAAGACCGTGAGTGACACCTTGATTGCCCTCTCAGGCATCACCCTGCGACTGTACGAGGACGATTACCGTGACCTGCAGAATGACGTCGTGACATTGTTAACGAAGTTTTGCGATTTGCTGTTAAAACCTTTCAACTCTGGAGAACCGACATGTTCACGTCAAGCTGGGTTTCAAGACAAGCCGAGGATCCATTGCTGCTGACGGCAGTGTTTTGTTTTGTCACGGCATCGGCCATTCTGCTGCTGAACCTGCTGATTGCTCAGCTGAATTGCTCGTACGTCTACATCTATCAGAACATGCTTGGCTATGCAGCCCGGTTTTGCGTGTGGATGTTTGTTAAAACATTTCCCGTGTCGTCCATAAATGGAGGCCGCCATCTTAATATTTGCGTAATCTCACATGTTCGTGTGGTCCCATAGGCTGAGAAACATTTATTGCTGACCAAACAATCGATCCGAGCTTATTGGTGTTTCATAGAGAGAAATAATGCATATATACGCGCTCCCAATAATCGTCACATTATCCCCCGCCTTCATTCCTACTAACCGACCACCAGGAAGTGAAATGGCCAGCCTCCGTTGCGGTTGTTCTTATAGGAGGCTACGTAGCCCAGGAATGGAGAATCAAGTGGAAAAGAAATGGAGAACTGAATGGGAACTCAGATTGTATATTGGGTTACAGGTCGTCGTGATTAAATGTGGTCCTTCTCGGGGGTCCCAATAATGCAGACTAAATTGCATTGGGGTCCAGATTGGGGCCCAGCATTTACCAAACCCACACATAATGTAGAAACCTCAATTCTTAACAATGTTCTGCTCGTGCAGTCCTTACATAACCCTAAACCCTAAAGGTGTAGTAGACTCCAAGACCCGTGTCTGGTTATGTAGGCTGTTACACTAGGCTGTAGCGGCCCCAGCATTTGTTTGCCTAGTCCCCCCTTACCCTATACTACTGGGCCCTCTAATAAACGTGTGTTCCCCTTTCTTGAGGTCTGGCCTTTCTATACATCTGTTTTGTACGAAAAGGAGTCCTTGTGATGCCTAAGTTACTGGCGATCCTAGCCTGAATGATCCCCATAGGCACCGAAAAGCCTAACTAGAGACAGCAATTAGAGACAGGCAAAGCTCAAACGCTCATCAGTGACAGTGCAGACTCTGGCGTACATAAAGCTGGACCGATGGAGCCGTTTCATCGCTACGCTGGGTCTGGATCAGCCTCTGGAATTCAACGAGGGAGATGTCGGTATGGCAGGTGGCATTTCCGCACCTCGGCATACACTGTTTCCACAGGTCCCAGTACCGTCCAAAGTTCTCACATCCTCTCCCTTAACGCCTTAACCTTAAACCCTGTGCACTGAACCGGTTAGTGTGTAGCAGCAGGATGCAACAGGCAAAAAGAAGGAGGGTTCTATTTCGGATTTTGGTGAGTGTATACAGGGTTCCTTAGGCATGTTGTCCCATTGGGCAGACCCTGAACGAACACCGTGGGCCAAAACAGGGCAGTATCAGTTTTTTCTTTGATTTCCCACGTGTCAAGTAGGCATCCTAAACCCTAAGCCCACGCCTAACTATGCCGGCACAAAACTGGGGCCAGCACAGCAGCAAGTGCTGGGTGGTGATGGTGGGTTTAAGGGTTTAGGGTTAAGGGTCGTCGTTGTCGTAGTTTTCCCCCCAATAGAATGGAGTCTTGTCCCTTCATGATGAGCGGAGGGTTGTCTTGTAACCCAGCCTTTACGAACTCGAACAGGATAGGATCGCGTCATATACAGACTCAGCAGACCCTTGTCACAAGCCCTGTATGCTGGGAGGAAACAGGAAAGCCTAAACTCCTGAACCCTCAGGTCTTTGAGCCTCAAAGCGTGAGCATCGTCGCAACCAGATCCGCATTGGTAATGCTTGTGCACTCCTTTTATGTACATAAACAGAGACAGGATAGGTCACCCCAAGCCCCAACACAAGAAGCCCAGAACACTCTTTTGATTGCCATAAGTGCCATAAGGTTCCTATCTGGGGAGTTGGGGGGTACCAACTAACCCTCTGTGAATCACGAAAAGTAGCAGGTTGGAAGTCGGTATGGTTCCATAGCCAAAACATGGAAGCTGAAAGGGGATCACTTTCAGAATGCTATCTCTTGAAAAGAAGGCTATAGGAGGTTCCATGTGGTAGTTTCCCAAATTACTATACCCCCAAATTACTATAATCATCCTTATTAGAGGGACCCCCAAAGAGGTACCCCTAATTTTGGCCAACCCCATGTTAGCTTAGGGGATGGCAATGCTCTCTCTTACCACCCGTAGGAGAATACCTGAAGGTTGTTGAGAGTACTCCATGGGGCTCGCTAAACCAGATAGACCCTAAATGCAGCAGCCAGCCACCTGAAATCAGAGAACCTTTTTCACCCGGAGGCACGACATAGACCTGGAAATCCTGTAGTGTAGGAGGCCTAAACCCTCCTTGCATGCGAATTTTAAAGCCCGCGCGACACTACAACTAAACATGTCTTTGAAAATATAAGATCACTGGTGGCCGATTTTAGAAGGTCTTTTGTGGGGGATGTTTGATATTGGAATGACGCAGGTAAGCACAATGGGGCTTATCGTGATATATAAGTTTTTTCGAATCGAATGGGGTATCTAGGACATTCCGTAGCATCAGGCCATGTCAATCGTTCTCCTGGGCCCCAAACCCCTCCTAAACTTTACTTGCGTAGCTAAACAATCACAATGAAATGGTTGCTCCCGAAACAGCCACATCCTGGGTAAGGATCCCCAAATACAAGGAATATATGTTCCGGAACAGCTAACAGTTTAGGGTTTAGGGTTTCTATTTCTGGCTGATAAAGTAACCGTCAACCCTGAAACATAATCCTGGACTGCTCAGCCGGCTGCGCCCAGCTTCCTGCGACCCCACACCCTACGCTCACTGGTTCTTGGAAGGGAATATTCTGTATATGGATTCTCTAGGAATTCTATAGGTATTGTATTCCGTTATTCCCTACTAAGCACCAGCAAGTAAGCCCAAGCTGCAGATAGAATCCTGTAACTTAACCCTAAACCCTATAAGCCCTAATACCTTAAACCCAGGCTGCGGATAGAATCCTGCGATTCGGTGGTTCCTGTTCTCCGGATTTGGAGTGGCCAGCTGATACCAGCAAGTCGGGCATGGACGCCGAAGAGGAGAGGAATAATAGGGTTTTGGGTTGAGGGCGCTAACAAGGAATGGAAAAGGCAATGGACATTACTATAATGGAAAAGCAAATGGACAAGAAGATGGAAAATGAAACGGAAACTAGGTTATTGTATAGGAGGTTTATAGGAAGTATATCTCCCTAGCATTCAATCCCCACCGGGCCCCGCCCCACTAGTATTCAATGTTCCCATTGAATTATAGTATATTATAGTATACCACAATGTGAATATTCAATAGGCGGGGGATGGGGGGTTTCAATATGGCAGCCTAAATAGAAGTATATACAGCCATGCAGAAAAGGGCTTGGGGCTCAGGTATGCAAAGGGAGGCGACGAGTAGCTTTTTGGGTGTTACTTAAGTTTCCTTAAACCCTATATAGAGTAAGATTACCACCCAAGTTCTGGAGGCCTTCAGGTCGGGGAAATCATGAGTTTGTGAAACCGGAAATCCGAGATATTTTGTTGGATTATCCTGATTTGCGTATAAATGGAAGTGACGCAGACCGGTATCCTACGAGACGTTTAAATTTAGCAATTTAGTATACAGTTTGCATAGAAAGTCTAGAGTTCAGCATCTGGGAATACCCGTTGCTTCTGGAAATGAGGAGCACGTGATTTGAGAATTCTTTCCTATGTCAGAAGCACAACGAGTGAGATGTCAAGAACCAAGATTTGAGAACTCTTGTTTAAACTGGAAGCAAATTAGGCAAGGATGTATAGAGAGAATCAGGAATGCAGGATCTGAGAATTGCCGTTGTCATTTGAAGCGCAGTAGCGGGATTGTATCAACAGGCAGGAATCCAGCATCCGAGAATCCCTGTTCCAATTCCAAGCCCATGTAGAAGCCTATTAAGCGTTTTTTATACAGGAACTCTGGATGTGAGAATTCCTATGTATGTATACATATATGTACGTGTACATCCTAGACCCCGAACCTTAGAAATTTCTGATATTGGACTGCCATGATTTTTGAGTGCCATCACTCACTCTGGCTTTGGAGAAGCTATCAAAATTGAGGCGTGAACTGCCGAAAGTGCAAGCACCCTACACCAGAGAAGGACTCTGAAATCTTACAGGGGGGTTAGTAGGGAATTGGGGAATAATCTCCACATAATCCCTGTATCACATATTGCCCTATTCCCTGCTAACCCCTGCAAGAAATTGCCATTGGGTGTCAAGGGTTGAGGTTTCGGGCTGGGATTTTGTCCAGACATGAAGGGATTAGATGGCGATTTTGTAAGCTTTGCATGGGAGACCCAGACCCTCAACCCATAGCAGTCCTCTAGGATTGCTTCAGAAGGAACATTATACCCGCAATGGGTCCTATATCTTAGCTTACTGGTTCTTAGTAGGGACTAAGGAGTAAAGTATATAGGGATTTTATTCCCGTATTGCCTACTCAGAGCCAGTAAGCTTAGTATGGCGGCATTAGCCAACCCGGAGGAAGAACTGGAGGCCCTCGAGCAGCTCCTACACACGACCCTGCATAACATGCGGAAGTCCAGGAGCCACACTCTAAGGGTTTAGGGTGTAGGGTTGGGCCTTCGGCCTCTTAGGGGGTTTCTAGGGGCCCTTCAGGGTACATATAGGCTCATACTAGGGCCCATGGCTCAACCTCAGACACATAGTGCCCCTCTTCTTATTGGGGCTTAGTAAGGAAAATGGGAATAGACTATGTAGGGATTGTATGGGGATTAGATTCCAGTATTCCCTACTAAGAAACAGTAAGGCTATTGGGAATTGAGGTTTAGGGGTGTGCTATGTGGGGTTGACCTGGATTATTAAGGAATACATAGGGGATTATACGCTGCAGAAAAATCCATAGCAGGGGGACTACCCAAGGCTTCTGTGAGCCCACACGGATTCAACGACGCTTCTGCTTCGATTTGCCATCAAGGCTACAGTGTAGCGGAGATCAAAGGCGAGAAGACTAATAGCAAGATCCCCAATGGATTCAGTCTCCTGCCCGCGCCCACTACAGGGAGTCAACCCTGCGTTGTGGAAGTTTCTTGAACTTATGCCATCCCTTTGACTCTCTGCACGCCAGGCACAATCAGGCTCCCGAAGGGCGCCCTGTCTTGAGAATGCCTTATATGATGGAACCCATGACAGAAAAACCCTAAGTCAAAAGGGTTGTTAACCCTAAACCCTAAACGGGTGGTGCGCGGGGTAGGTAACCCAGTAATCCCCCAGTTCTCCCTAGTCCACCCAAGTGCTTCCCAAGCTAAGGCTCCTCCGTACCTACCTCCTTAGGACCCGGTTTAGGGTCTGGGATTTAAAGTTTAAACTTTGTGACAGGAGCAGTTTCCATTTCATGTTTCATATACTTTTCCTTCTGATTCTCCCCTGTTAGGGTAACATCCCTATAAGGCCCGAAATTAAGAGCCCTTATTAGGGTCCCCTGTGACAGGAGGGGCGAGCATAGTTCTGGTTTCTCTTCCAGCCAACAAGCCGGGCAATCTATGACTGGCGAGTCTACAGGCGGAAGGATGACGAGTGGTGTCAGCCGATGCAGTTTCTAACATATTTTTGTGGTTTTCATCAGGGCATAAACCCTAAACCCCAAACCCTAAACCAATATACGAATCCGTTAAAGAAGTCTTGTGAGAAAGTCCTTGATTTGGGCAGACGGAATTCTGGCAGGGCCGTTCAGTACAACCGAAGGAACCGCAAGAGAATCCATCCTGTAGCCGCAACCACGACCAATGTTATTCTTTCAACCACCACAAAAACTTCACTTGAATATTTGGGCTTCTGCATGAAGCCCTGACAAGAGGCTCCAAACCGACTCCCTCGATTATTGCCAACGGGCGAAAACGCCAAGCCATAGTTATCCGAGATCCGAAGCCCACACCTAAACCCAAAGAAATTCCACAAAGGTCAGCGGTGTGAGTGGCATAGGCTCATCGGACTAGGTGGAGCACGCAGTGGCCGCTACATTTTATTTATCAGGGTCAGCACTACAGGGCAGAGGCGACAACTTTGAGGTCTTAGAGTTTGGGGCATAGTGTTTATTTTTCCCATATAGCCCCAATATACTATTAGTAGTTTCCATCTTCTTTTCCAGTATCCCCC